TACTGGGCCTGGCTTGCGGATCTGAGACTTCAAAGCCCACTCCACAGTGCCACACTTCCTCCAACAAGGCCACACCTACTCCAACAAGGCCACACCTCCTAATAGTGCCACTCCCTATGGGACTGGTGGGGGCCATTTTTATTCAGACTACCATAAGGACCTTATTCTCTAGCCCGGGAGAGCCTCACACTCGATATCTTTCTGCCTCAGCCTTTCCAAGTGCTGAACTTACTACTATATACCATCAGCCCTATAGTTTACAACATGGGTTAAAATCTGTTTCTTAAAAAAAAAAGTTGTTCTTATTTTTACTCAAGTGTATGTGTCCATGTGAGTGAACGCCACAAGCAGGCAAGTGCTGGCGGAGGCCAGAAGAGGGAGCCAGATCCCTTGGAAGCGGAGTTACAGGTGGTTGTGAGCCAAATTCCAGTCTTCTGGAAGAGCGGCAAGTGTTACTAACCACTGAACCGTCTCTCCGGCCCTAAGACCTGCTTCTTGATTCACTCTGGCAGTGGGAATTACTGACCGAGGGCCTCAAATCCATCCTTCTCCCACTACAGAAGGCCTTAACTAACCCGAAGCCTTCAGAAGAGGGAAGGGTCGGCAAGAGCCAGGAGCCCGAGGTCCGCCACCGTCCCTCCGATAGCCCTATCCTCTCCCACAGGGTCCCCCCACCTCGCCATGTCCTTCTGTCTGCACGGCACAATGTGGTGCCGGCTCAGGTGTGCAGCGCTACAGTTACACACCATCCCACCGTGTTCCCTGTCTCGTGAGCAAGAGGTTTCCCGAGTCGCCTTTGGAACTGCGTGGCATCATCCCGCAGGGTGCCGGGCCCAGACACCGTCTCTGTGAACTCTTTTCTGGGACCACTAACCACCACCTGCAAAGTACAAATGCCCCACTGTGAGGCTTTTCAAGCTGCCATTCTTGGTTTTTCCAAACAGGAAATGCATAAATACAAAGATCTCCATCTATGGCTTTGGTGGTCCCCCGAACATCTCTCTTTCAAAGTAGAACCCAACTGTATGTATGTATGTATGTATGTATGTATGTATGTATGTATGTATGTATGTACTGCATACCCACCCCTTGCTGGACTACAGGAGTTTGGTGACTTCTGGTTTTTGGTTTTGTTTTTTTTTTCTTCCTGGCTTCATCAGTTCCCTCCCTTGGCTCTTTCTCTGCTGGGGCCCTTTCCTGTCCTTTGACCCAGTGACTGACAGCTGGACTCTGGCCACTGGAGAAATGTGGACAGGCTGAGGGTTATAAGAGGCCAGGCTTTGTCCCAGGGCCCGATGGGTCTCCACTGACCTTGGAGCCGAACGACCGGGAAGACCAAGGGGAGCCCGTTTCCTTCCCTCTTTGGTCGCAGGTTTTAATGTCTTCTTTGTTGGTCTGCGCCCCTGGAGGCTGCACCAAAGAGAGAGACTTCAGGCTGCCTCCTCCTCCCTCCTGGACAAAATGGTGCATGCTTTTCCTGTTTAAACAGGGCACAGTTGTGAAGTGCCCTGACTTCGCACACACCGAGGCCCGGCAACGGCTGCAATAAATCAATAGGAAAATAGAAGCTGCCAGTTAGACTAAACAAGTGCATTTGCAAAGACGGCTAGCCCTCATTAATCACTCTGACAGTCCTAAAAACACATTTCCCCTTTAATGACTGTATTTGGATAATCAGTGCCTTTTCCTCCTCACTCAGAGTTTGAGTAACAGACAGCTGGTGTTATTACAGCCATCGGAGAGGGAGTGCTGGGATTAGGGTCGACAGAGAACCATCCACTGGAGGTCCAGGCAAAAAAAAAAAAAAAAAAAAAAAAAAATGCAAGCTGGTTGGCTGCAAAAGCTGTTGTTAGGCGATCATGAGGGGGCGCTTTGTACTGCTGTGGACAGCTCAGGGCAGCCATGTGCAAGTTGCCCCCAAACCTCCACACCCACCTGCGTTACGTGAATGAAAAATCTCCGGTTGGTTTTATGAGCTCTGGCCATGTGACCCTGTGGAGGAGGCAGGAGGTACTCTGGGAGGGAGGAGAAGATGAGTAGATGCGATCTGAGCTTTGTTTCCTTCAGGTGACTTTGGCTTTGAGGAGAAAGTTTGAAATCTAGCACATTCCTCTTTATAAATGATGTAACACATTAATGCACAGCACATTATGAAAATGGTAATTCAAACCCATAGTGCTCCAAATTAAACCATACATTATCGGATGCACTCAACCATCTATTTTGCAAAAAGACAGGATGAATGAAATCAAATCAAACAGAAAACTGGAGTGCAGCTTCCCCTACAGAATGATTAATAAAGTGCGGGCCTCGGGATTATTGCAAGACAGATTCTACCCAACCCAGACACGCACGAGAAGGGAGTTAGCGCTTACACAAATCCAGTGCCTAGGAGCCAGGCGATCGGAGCTGTCTACGAATGCAGAGTGGTGGGTTTTATAGATGGCAGAGGATGGCTGGGAAGGCTAAAAACACAACCAACTCTGAGTCAAGACTTTATCTGAGGGCAAGCCTCCCCCCCCCCCCCTTCCTCCTCTCCTCTCCACTGCCCACAGGGCCACAAAAATAACCTAGCAAGAGGTGTGAAAATCGGACCTGGAGCCAGGAACATCCAGTGTCTCGGACTTCAGCTTTATGGCTTCCACCATGGTGCCCTGGGAACGAACACAGGGCCCATTTCTGGAGGCTGGAGAGATTAGGGGAGAGAGGAGGAAGAGGAGGAGGAGGAGGAGGAGGAGGAGGAAGAGGAGGAGGAGGAGGAGGGGGAGGGGGAGGAATTTGGAGAAAAGGACATAGAGAAATGCAAAGGAGGAGTTGCCAGATGTGTTAAGTACACAAATTGGCAGCTGCTGGGGGAGAGTTCGTCTCTACTAAAATGGCAATTAATGGGAATTAAGCAATCAAAAGTAACAAACTCCTCACCAGTTAATTAAAATCGGCAATTTCTTAGCAATCTTTCCGGTTTATGAGTTGGGGGAGCTGTTTAAGGATAATAACTTCATTTCCAGCCCTTTGGTTACCATGGTAGTTTGGGGCAAGTTAGTTCAACCAGGCTTGGTGTGACCTCCCTAGTCCCAAGCGCAATAGTTTTCCAATATGCTTTTTTTTTTTTTTTTCACACCGAAGGTGTAAGCCAAGCAGCTATTAGCCAGGTTTTCTTTTAGTATGGAGAGAAGTTATTAGCTGTGGGAGATGAGGAATCTTTTTCCATCTCCCTTCCTAACCAGAGGAGTCCCTGTGCCCAGGAGGAAGGCTACCGACCACAAAGCAGAAAGAAAAAGTTTAGGAACCCTCTCCATTACTTTTAACAGGCTTCGGAAAAGTAACACAAAGGTGTCTGCAGAAAAAAAAAGGGGGGAATTGGGTAGAAAGGAAGCTGGGGGGGGGAATGAATAGCACACAAAACAACGTGGGTGGGGGTGGGGGAGGCAGGAGTCCCTGCATTTCAGGTGTGTGGGAGAGTGGCCCTCTAAACGATGCTGATTCTCCAGGCCCACCTCGGGCTGGTCTCAGGGCGACTCTCAGGCAGGCCGCCTGTTGTAGTCTGTTCTGGGGTCCTGCTCTCCCTGTGCCTACACAGGTCAGCAGCCCAGGCTACTTTCCCCGGAGCATGCAGTCATGGAGTGGCCAGCATTTATACTAGGTTTAAAAAAAAAAAAAAAAAGAACAAAAACAAAACAACCTGATGTTCTCATCACTGACAGAAGAATTTTGCCTAGATAACAAAGATCTGGGGACGCAAAAGTGTGTACTAAAGAGTCCAGAGCGGTGCGGCTTTCCATGGATCCTCCACTCAGAGGTTCAGTTTGTGAACACTTGGTACACTCTAGATGGAGAACGCACCCCCCATCCCCTCAGTTGACTCCTGCCTCCGAAGCATCAGAAGCAGGAAGTTCTCAGGGTACAAACTACCTGTTCAATGGTTACTCTCACAGGAGGGCAAAGAGCAGCGCAGCACCAATAAATCCAAAGGCCGGGTGGCACTCCTGCGGCGCATCCAGGGATGCGCAGTGCAGCGAGGCTGGTGGCCCAGGGTCTGTGGCACCACCGTGGCTGCCCCCAGAGGAGAAGAGCCAGTCTGCACTGGCACTAGGCAGTTGGTGACTCAGGCACCTGGGCTCAGGGCATCCTGGACACTCACTGCGGGACTGCTATTCCACGCAGTAGGCAAGTACCGGGCCAACACCCCACTAAACAGCACCTGCTCTCCACTGCGAGAGGACACAGGTGAGTCGAGCGAAATCTGGTAAGAAGGGTCAGGTCTCAGTGTCTGGCTTCCCTGACATCAGACCGGCTTCAGGTTCCTGTATCATCGCGGAGAATGCTCAGCAAAACCCACACCCGCTTCCGAGTTTTCAGAGTCGCAGGGGACCTAAGTCGCAGAGTTGGGTGAGGAGCCCCCCCAAGCCTCACGAAACATTTCTCGGAGCAAGTGTTGGTCGTGTCAAGAGTCACCCCTACCCCCGCGAGCACCAAGTTCAAATCCTCAGTCTTAGGGACTGTGAAAGGTCGGATTAGAGTCAGTTGAGGCCTCTCAGCCTGTAGCTCTCATTATGGCCACGAGATGGCGCCAGAGGCACGTCTCTGCGAGCCCTCCCGCCGGGCTTGGGATAAGGCTGCTGGGGAGTCAAGTCTCAGCTCTCCTTCCTGGTTCCCTTTCTCTGCCCATAGCCCTTGAATTCCCGCCCGGAGGAAGATCCACTTTCACACACGCCCTTGCTCCATTTTGCCCCCAGGAAATGCCAAGGCCTTTGAAGTAACTCTGGGAGCTAAGCAACCAAATGGAAAAAAAAAAATAAAAGTGGTTTTATGTAATTTGTAATACATTGGTGCAAGTCCCTTCCTAGAGGAAAGGCGTTAAACTCCTCTTGGAACCGCAGTCCCAGAAGGAAATCCTTAAGCTTTTAAACAAAACAAAACAAAACAAAAAAGCAAGGGCATACGCTTAAGGTGTCTGGAAATGGGACTATGGTGAGGCAAGAGAGAAACACACCACGGTGTGAATATAGCCAAGTATTCCATTTATTAACAAAATAGTCTTAGCAAGGGAGAGAGCTCTGTTCACCCCACAAGAGGCCCCGCAGCCCCGGCGCTGCTGCGTAAGACCGGAAGGGAGGGAAGGTGTGGGGGGAGAAGACCCGGGTTGAGTCTTTAATCCTAGCCACCGCAGGAACTCACGGAAACCCACCGCCAGCTTTTGCAGATTGCTGGCTCAGGTCTGGGACAGGGCGAAGGGAGTGCTGTGATCCTAGGACTCCCTGAGTCCCCAGCCTGCCCCCAACAGAGCTACTAATGTTGTCTGGTCTCATGACTTTGGGACTAGTCTGCTTTGGAGGGATCCTTCAAGGATCCCTGGCCCCGCCCCTATCACCAGGGGAGGGCGGGAGGGCGGGGTGTCATAGTCCCAACTAGGGAAGAAAAAAATAATGACGATAAGGTACTTCACAAAATAGAAACAGCAATTTCGTGCCAGCGGGGCCTTTTAAGACGTTTGACTGGATGTGCCCAGTCCACTTCAGCGGGCAATCTGACTGCAGGGCAAGGTGTGGGTCCCTGAAGGGCCAGGAAGGTACAATGGATGGGTCTGTTGGAGGTCAAGGGGCCCACTGCAGGGGAGGCCTGCTGGTGGCTCCTGGACTCTGAGCATCCTGGAGGGTCAAGGCTGTGATATGATTTGAGGGGCCAGGGCCTAGGACCAAGGGCTCCTGTGGGGAAAGGAGGGGGTGCTGGGGAGGGTCACGGAGTTCTGAGTCAACAAAGCTCAAGACCTCCCCGCCACCAAGGCTGCTCCCCTCGACCCCCCAAAAATTGTTAATTTTTTTTTGTACAAAGGAAAAAAAAATAAAACCTCACATGGAAAGAAATAAGAGGGGATGAAAGGAAAAGGGAGGAAATGCAGTTTTAACAGTTAAGACTCATGCAAGAGACTTCCCAAGACAGGGAAACTAAAAGTGTAGAACCCCAACTCTCTTCATTCCTTAAAACCAAACCAGTCAAAAAGAAAAAAAAACCCAAAAGAACCAAAAAACCCTTAAAACGTATACCTAAGAAAAAGAAAATAAAAAAGGGAGGGAGAGGGAAGGGGACCATGGAGTTATCTGGGTGGTTAATATTATTATTTGGGGAGACAGACTTTTTGCATACCATCGACTCATGTGGGCCATTAATGCACTTATATTCCCAGCTTGTAAGCTAACATTATAGTAAATAAATACACAGTCCAGTGGGGAAGGGCTGGGCTGGATCCTGGTAGGGGTAAGCAGTAGTGGTTGCAGCGTCGCGGGCAGGGGGACGAGAGAGGAAGGGGTGGGTGGGGAAGGGCTGGGAGGGGCCAGAGCTGTAGTTACTGGTATCCGAGCGCCGAGGCGGAGGCTAGTCTCTGTCCATACAGCGCATATGGCGAGTAGTAGGGTCCGGCTGTGGGGAGGGATGGTACTGCCAGCCCCCCGGCTGTAGATAAGTGACTCTTGCCATAGGGGTGGTATCGGCTTAGCCCCAAAGTGTGTGGACTCCGCAAGGACAGCGATCCGGGGCTGCCTGGGGCGGTGGGCGGGGGGAGATGCAGGTGGCAAGAGGCTGCGGCTGCAGCCGCTGCGGCGGCGCTGCCCAAGCTCGAGGCCCCGGGGTAGGCGGCCAGAAGTTTCTCTGCGCCGGGCAGGGCGGTGTGAGTCCGTAGATGGCTGAGCAGCTCCTCGGAAGTGGCAAAGCGCTTGTCGCAGGGCCCGCTGGCCGCCACCCAGTTGCAGCTGTGCGGCAGCGGTTCGTTCTGCAGCATGAAGCCATAGGTGTAGAGAGGATGGCCCGGAAGCGCGGCCTGGGCGGCGCTGGAAGACAGCGCCGCGGGTTGCAAGGGGTGCCCCGGGTATACCAGCGGGTAGCCACCGGCCTTCAGGCTGGGCCCGGCCGGGTCGTGCGCGCTGCAAGTGGAGCAGCTAGAGCCGCCGAGGTGCGAGGCGCTGTGGTAGCCTCCCAGGCAGTAGGGGTCACGGCATAATCCCTGCAGGAAGGAGGGCGGGGAGGCCCCGGTGAGCGGGCTGGAGCTGGGGGGCTTGCCCGGTGGCAGGCCCAGGCCCCCGGACAGCTGGCCTCCCACTAAGCCAGACTTGCTAGGATCCAGGCCAGGCACGAACTGAGACGGGTAGCCGGCGTAGGCGCCCACAATCGAGCCGTGGTAACCGATGCTGGAGGGCGGTAGCGGGAACACCGAGTGGCCCGGCTTGTAGGGTGACACTGGAGCCACGTGGCCAGCCCCCACCAGAGCAGAGGGCGGCTCCGACTTGCGCCCTGAGGCCGCGGCCTCCGGGCCACCGTGAGCCGAGTCCCCGCCGCCGCTGCCTCGGCTCCCGGCGGCTGGCTCCGGACTGGGTTTGGCTTCCTGGTCTTTCTTGTCCAGGTCTCCGCCGCCGCCGCCGGCCCCGCCACCGTTCTTGCAGTCTGGGTGGTGCGGGGAACCTCCGCGGGAGCCTCCGGGTGAAGACGAGTTGGACGAGGTGGAGACGGGCGCTCCATGCGGGGGAAAGGGAGGGCAGGTGGCGCTGGGGACCCTGAAGCCCGCCTTGTCTCCGGGGGACGAGGAGGACGAAGAGGAGGTGGAGGACACGGACGAGGAGCCGCTGTCTTTGCGCGAGTCGCCGCCGCCGCCGCCGGAGCCTTTGGAGTAGGGCTTGAAGCTGGACTTGTCCTCGGCGGGGGAGTCCCCCAGCTGCTTGAGCGCGGTGGCCGCGGAGGCGGTGCCGGGGGCGGAGCGGCCCGGGTCTTTCTCGGATCCCAGCCCGTTGGCGGCTGCGGCTACCGAGTTGAGCTTGGACGAGGGCGGCGGGTCGGGTTTGCCGATCTGCGAGCAGGTCTGGGCGAGCAGTGCCAGCGGACTCTTCTTGGCGTCCAGCTGCGGGAGACAGTGGCAAAGGGGAGGGAGAAGAAGGGGGTGAGATCAGGAGCCCCACTGAGCGCGCAGGGACGTAAAGCAGGGCACCGGCCGCGCGACGGGGGGCCTAGCCAAGAGGGTCCCCGAGAAGAAGGCCTGGCTCTGGAGGAGCGGCTGGGCAGAATGGCACCGGCGTCGTGGGTTAGTCGCCCCTGAGTGTGTCATGGGCGCGGGCGCGCCGGAGAAACGGTTCCGCACCCGCCCTCCTGGTTAAAGGTGGCTTCTGCGGAGTCGGGGTGGTGATTCGCCCCTTTCCATGTAATCTCCCCCTCTTCTTGGCCCGGGGGAAAACTTAAGCCTTTAGTTTGGGAGAACTTCGTTTGGGACGGGTTTCTGGTGATGGCGCTCGGGGTAGGAGCGGGGGAGAGGCGCCTTCTAAAGGCAGAGCTGCAGTTGGCCCTGGGAGTAGCCCCTCCCTCTCGCCTTCCCTCCCTCCTTCTCTCCCTCCCTCCCCGGGAGAGGACACCCAGAGAAGTGGGATGAAGAAAGACCCGGGATCTCGAGTGCCTGGGTTTCCTGCTGTGTGCCCCCAACAGGCCGGGGAAGATGCAGGGGAACCCGGGCGGTTTCCAAGAGAACAGGTCGGGGTGGAGGCGAGGGAGGCCCAGGAGCCGCCTTTGGACAGGACACTGGGGGCCAGAGGAAAAGTAAAGGACTCTGGGCACTACAAGAGCAAATCCAGTCCGACAGAAACTCCGAAGGGCGGGTGGGCAAAAAAAAAAAAAAAAACCCTTCCACCCGGGAGTCTAGGGAGAACCTAGAGGGGTCTGATTCCTGCCTTTCGTCCCTCCTCATGAGGTCCGCCAGCGTGGCCAGCCTCGAGAGTCGCATCGCATGAGCTATGGGGGGGTGGGGTGGGGAGGGCAGGGAGCAGGGCCATGGGCCCAGCATGGGTGGCGGAATGGGTTCAGCTCTGGGTGGGCAGCGCCCGGGAGACTGACCTCAATGGGGCTGACGGGAGTGGAGGACAGCGGTTGCAGGTACTCCGGGTGCAGGAGGTGACCGGTGTGAGCGCTCAGCATCTTCAGAACCCTGATCGGAAGCCGGTTCGCCTGGCGCAGGGGGTCCGCCGGGGGCAGGAGGGACACCACCGCCGGCACCGCCGGCCTCTTCCCGCCGCCGCCGCTGCCGCTGCCGCTGCCGCCGCTGCCGCTGCTTTCGGGTGTCCTTGGGTTAGATCCAGCGGGCGAATCGCTCATTTGGAGGAGGCAGCGCCACTGGGGGGGCGGGGAGGGAGGGGAAGCTCCGGGAGGCGAGCTCCCGGGGCGGGTGGGCTCGCTCCGCTGCGTCGAACGCCGTGCAGCAGTGGCTGCGCCTCGGTGCCGCCTCCCCTCCTCCACCTCCGCCGCCGCCGCTGCCGCCGCCGCCGCCGCCGCTAGCCCAGGCGAGCAACACAAAAACCTTCGCCTTCCGCGAGCTGCACGTCAAATAGCCGCGATCCGCAGCCACACTTCAAAGGGATCGCCGCGCCCGCCCAATCGCAGCTCTCTCCCGGACCCCGGGGCGGGGAGAGCGGCGGGCGGAGGCGGGCGCCGCCGGTGGGCGGGGAGAGTCTTAAAGGGCCCTCGCCCACTGTCGCCTCCCAGCCTCCGCCGCGCGGCTGGGACTGCTCCCCTTTTCCGGGTTCTGCCCGGGCTGCCCTCGCCAGCGGGTCATGTACAAGGGATGGGACTTTTGGAAGCAGGCTCCGCGCCCTCCTCCTGTGGCCGGCCGCTTCCCACCAGCGCGCGCGCGCGCGCGCCCGTGTGTGTGTGTGTGTGTGTGTGTGTGTGTGTGTGTGTGTGTGTGTGTGTGTGTGTGTGCAGGCGGGGGCTGTCGCCAGTGTCTAGGGTGGGGACGTGGGGGGGGGGGGTGGGAGCGCACGGAGCCTGCTCTTGTCCTAGGATCCAAGCCTCTCCCGGAGGCCGCCTGGGGGCGGGCCATGCCTGGGGAGCTGGGCCCCTTCTCCAAGCTGCTGCTGCGGCCAGTTCTCTTTCCCCTAATTGGCCTCTCCCGGATGTGTTCACTTGGAAGCGCCGGAGCCTCGGGGGCATCCACTATTCCCCGGGCGCCGCGTGAGCCGTTCCAACTACTTTGAGCTTGTCCAGTCAGCCTGCAAATGGAAGGACTCCCTTCCCGGTGAGACCGTCTAGGTGCAGCGCGGTACGCGGGCTAAGGCGCGCCGCCTCGGCGCGCCTGCAACGTCCCGGGGGCGCACTGAATTATAGATCGTGTTGAGGTGTGTTTCAGGGTTCTTGTCCCGTTTAAAGCAGTAAAGCTTCCTCCCTGTGCTGTGACTAGCTGCTCTTTGGCGACGGGGTGAGGGGCAGCATAACAGGAGAAGCCTGTGTGTCCTAGCGGAGGGGCTCTCAGCACCGCACAACTCCAGACATTGCTCCACTGGTTTTCCCCCCAGGGAAATTTCGAAATGAAACCTTTTAATTAATAATAACAGTACCCTCTCGGATTCCCCCGAGCCTTCCGGAAAAAGTACGTATTCACACTTGGCAGCGATTTTACAGAGTCGTGAACCTGACCTAAAGTTCTCGACCCTGGGGCTCAATCAGGTGACACTGGTCCTTTGTGTCCCAGCTCTGGAGTGACCACTTCTGCTTGCCCTCGGCGGCCAGTGGAGGCGCGCTGGTGTCACCATTCCTTCCGAGTACCACTTTTCCAGCCCTGATTTGTCACTCTGACCATCAGGGTCGGTCTTTGTAGGTGTCTTGCCCCAGGACTATCTGGTCCTGACTGCGTGGTGCCGACCCACGTCTTTTCTCTGACTCTGGTACCAGTGGCTCAAGACAACGTGAGAACCCAAGAGTGGGGCGGGAGATTTCAAAGAGATCTTCGAAGTGAGAGCACCATCATGAACCTTTATCGTGCTCCGGAGAGAATATGGCAGGCAGCTTCCAAGGCCACTCAAGTCATAACACTAAACTCAAGCGCTCCCTGGATCCACACTGTTTGGTGGATAGAGTGTATAGATTTCTTAGAAATTAGCCAACTGCCCCCTTCCTCATCTTTAATTCTTGTAAAATTAGTTGAAAACCAGTGGCCAGTGATGCCCTGACTCTGATGTTATCTTCCATTATTTCAGCCATAGACATGGAGGGGAGGAAGGTGATCTCATTTATTTTATGGTGTCAAGTTTTGCTTCTCATCCCCATTAGCTGCGCCATTTTTTTTTTTTGCATTCTGACCTCATGGTAACTGCCAACACTTATCTTTAAAATTCTACTCCAGGCTGGGGATGGCGGCTCATACTTGTAAACCCAGCACTCAGGAGGCTAGGCCGGCGGATCACATCATGAGTTCGAGGCCACCCTGGCCTACCTTGTGAATCGACTGGCTTGTTCTACAGAGTGAGACCCTATCTGAAAACAAAGTCCAACTTGGAGGCCTCCTTCAACCTCCACAGTCCTTTGGCCTTTGGGAGAAAAGAGCAGAAGAAAGGTAGGGCTATAGAAGAGGTAGTCTTTGTGGAGAGCCTGGTGGAAGAACTAGGAAGAAGGAAGAGTTAGCGGATAAAGATGAATCCTTGGTTATTGTAAGCAGTCCAGCTGCAAGAGTGAGCCCAGAAATCCTTCTAGGACCCGAGCAGATGCGTGTTAGAAATGATTAATGGGAAATAAGTTGGAGGGAAAGAGAGTGGATACTTAGGAATGTGAATGGATACTTAGGGATGTGAGTGGAAAAAAAGGGCCAGGAGGCAGCAGAAAGGACAGTGGGGTATTTACCATTTATTTAGGGAGTAGAGGGATGTCAAATGAAGAAAAGGAAGAGAGAAAGTGTACAGACAGGATACACAGACTCGGGAAGGGGGCAGGCAGTTTCCCTATGAAATAATACACTGTCCTTCTTTTTTTTTTTTTGGTTTTTCGAGACAGGGTTTCTCTGTGTAGTTTTGGTGCCTGTCCTGGAACTCACTCTGTAGACCAGACTGGCCTTGAACTCACAGAGATCTGCCTGGCTCTGCCTCCCGAGTGCTGGGATTAAAGGCGTGCGCCACCACCGCCCGGCTACGCTGTCCTTTTTTTTTTTTTTTTTTGGTTTTTCGAGACAGGGTTTCTCTGTGTAGCTTTGCGCCTGTCCTGGAACTCACTTGGTAGTCCAGGCTGGCCTCGAACTCACAGAGATCCGCCTGGCTCTGCCTCCCGAGTGCTGGGATTAAAGGCGTGCGCCACCACCGCCTGGCTACGCTGTCCTTTTAAGGAAAGTCATTCCCTAAGCTCCACACAGTCGGCATGGACAGGATAGTGGTGCCAGACATTGCGCTGTCCAGGCCGGGCCTGCTTCCTGCTTCTGCACAGTGAGTGGGACACACTCCACAGCATACACAGAGGGTAAGGACACACTTTGGGATCCTGGTAAGGGTAGCAGGGTTTCTTTGACTGGATCTGTCCAATTTCCTTCTGGGAGGAAAAAAATATGGGAAACATACACACACACACACACACACACACACACACACACACACACACACACACACGGAGCTAGGCCGAAGGCCTAATTAAAACACTTGCAGATTATTATTAAAATCACTCTTTGACATTTACTTAGCAAAATTGTTACCCCATACAGAGCACTACGCTGGGCCCCAGCCGGCTGAAAGGAAGTTCAGTTTTCAAAGGAATGGCTTGCCACCTGGGAGGGAATATGACTCATTCATCAACGGGACCGTGTTTACTGAGGGCCAGCTGTGGGCAAAGCGTTGTGTTAGGAGTGTGGTTTAAAGAGTCCCCGTAAAATGGTGCAGTGCAGGGCCTATAGCAGAAGTCTTCCCCTTGCAAAAGTGTGGCAGATGGATGGGACCTTATTTGCCAGCCCTTCACTGGTTGCCCCGGGAATGAGGAACCATGGTTAAACAGGACAGGGTTAAGGCTATTTAAGGCTGTTTCTATGACACTGTAGTAAAGAATGATTTGCATGCCAGCCGTTTCTTTTTCCTTCTATTACTCAGGATCTCACAAGGTAGCTCTGACTGGGCTAGAACTCCTGATGGCCCTAGCAGGAGTTACAAGTGTGCTTGATTTTTTTTTCTTTCTTCTTTTTTTTTTTTCAGAGCTGAGGACCGAACCCAGGGCCTGGCGCTTGCTAGGCAAGCGCTCTACCACTGAGCTAAATCCCCAACCCCGATGTGTGCTTGATTTTATGCTATGCCTTCCGCAATATTTGGATGCTGCAGGCAACCCAGCTAGGTCTGAGAGAGAGGAATGGGTTTGTTAGTCACTCGAAGATACTGGAGACTGAGAGGCAGAGCACTTACATGAGGTTAGGTCACTGGGAGACAGGACCTTAAAGCGTGCTGCCATGGTAACCCTGGGCACGTTACCCTTCCCGTACTTCAGTTTTCCTATTCGTAAAAATCTAAGCGTGGCCATCCCAGACTCAGGAGGCCATGGGCAGGCAACACATGTCACATGTGGAGTATTGGGACAAAGAGAGTCCCAGGTAAATGATGGCTGTGATACAGTGGACTGTCTGCATCTCAGCCTAGACTGGGAATTCTGTGGAAGTGGTGGCAGATCCTCCCGCAGGCTCCAGCCCAATGTATCTTTTTAAAAATGCCCCTCAAAAGCTATTGGAAAAAAAAAAAAAAAAAAACGCCTTTAGAAAATTGTGAATATTTATAGATTTTTTTCACATCTTCAATTTACATAAAATTTGCCACCCAGGAAAAAATGCCTGAGTCAGGTGGAGAGGGAGAGGTGGTGGATTTGTTGTGAGGGGTTAATGGGTAGTTTTCACTCCTTGCTGGGGCGGAATTGCCTGAATGATCACCTCTCTGCATAACACTCAGACCCTAATGGCAACAACATGAAATAATATCTCACCGGGTAACTATTTACATTTTTTTTTTTTTTTACAAGCTGTAAGAACTCTACAAAGTCTGTCTTGTAGAGAACTTGGTTTTCCGTCCCTGCGTTTAATATCTTTCAGCAGCTGGCAATTACTGCCTTGGCCAGAAGCCCTGACTTAGCACAGTGCTCTCAGGGCTCTGAAGGCATTTTCTCAGCTGCCCCACCCCAGGCTTCAGACACTGCCTGGGGCATGACAGGGTCACTAAGGACTGGTGGCACCGAGCTGGCAAGAACCAGGCCAGCCAGCCTCACAGGAAGACTGCTCCGTGTCCTCACAGTTGTGTGATTACAGGTGTCCCAGGGCATCTGCTTTTACCTGCATTTTGTCTTACCTCCCACGGGACTATGGATGCATTTTTTTTTTTTCTCACCCTCTACGTTCTTACTGGCCAGCAGTATTTGACCATCAAGGCAGTAGCTGACACCGTTCTAAGCACTTTGCAGACACTGTCTCGCTTCACCCCTGCAGAAGCCCTGGAAGTGGGTTAGCCCTAACCGCAGAGGAAGACATGGGAGCCCAGAAAGGTTAAGCAGTTAGCTGGCCAAGATCCAGTGCAGTTAAGTGCCCAGTGATTTCTCTCCTCTCTACATCCCCTTCCTTTTTGTCTGACCCACCTCTTCTCCCTTTGTGCCCTCCTCTCCTCTCCTCTCTCACTCTTTTCCTTGTGGTGTTTAGGATTCAAACCGAGGGCATCGCTC